TCCTGCTATGAGTGAAACCATCTGGTATTTTTCTTTCTCTTTCTGGCTTATCCTCACTAAGCATGATCTTTTCCAGCTGCATCCAAGTTGCTGCAAAAGACATGTGTTTCTCTTTTTGGTAGCTGAGTAATATTCCATTGTGTATATGTATCACATCTTTTTAATCCAGTCATCTACTTTTGGGCATTTGGGCTGCTTCCATGTTTTCCCAATTGTAAATAGAGCAGCAATAAACATGGGGGTGCAGGTATCTTTTTCAATCAATGTTTTTGTGTCTTTTGGGTAGATACTTAAGAGTGGATTGCTGGGTCGTAGGGAAGCTCCATGTCTAGCAGTTTGAGGAACCTCCAAACAGTTTTCCATAGTGGGTTTTTTTTTTTTTAATGATTTACTTATTTATACATACAGGACTGGGGTACAGGCCAGAGTTGTGGGGGGTGAGAGGATTCAACAGAGACAGAGTGGGGAGTAGAACAGGCAGATGTACTGAAATACACTGCTGAGGGTAGCAGCGGGCAGGTCAGGAGAGATGAGATCTGCCACACCATGTGGGTCACCTCCCTGGTCGGGGATGGAACTCATGCAGCAGTGGCTGTGATAGCTTCACAGAGCTGTGCTTTAGCCCATTGTACCACCAGATGGCCCAGGTCAGAAGTCTTATGTAGTATGCTCCAGGCTAAAATCAAGATCTTCTGAGTCCTCTCTGGAGTTTCTGGGGAAGAATCCAAATTTCTTGACTTACCATAGGGTGTTACCCCTAGGTCTTAGGGGCTTCTCTCCAGCCCTCAATTTTGCCTAGGACCCCTCTGTTTTGAAACCAGTGAGAGACATCCTAGGACCTTGATGATTAGACTGGGCACTCCTGGAGAACCCACCCCACAGTTTCCCTACTGCAGGGTCTATAACTTTAATCATATCTGCCAAGTCCTTTTATGTTACTTGAGCTGCTCAGATTCCAGGAACTGTTGTAGCCAAATTGGGGAGGCCTTATCCATCTCACTACCCCAAAGGTATGCGCCTCCTTGTTGGGATAGTGACAACCAAGGGAAAAACCTGGGCTCAGGTTCTACCTCCTCTGTGCTCTTTCCTTACCTGGGGCTGTCACTGTACTGTGTGGCTCTGAGTGTCAATTTCACCTCCTGTCAAATGGGAATGATGCCACTAACTCATTAGAGTCATAATGAGCTCTATTATTATATTCATGTTCCCTCTTGCAGCTTCTGTTTCCTTACATCATAGCAGTGTGTCTGAATCTTCTTTTGTCATAATCTGCAACTTTATGTCCCCACTGAAAGAACCGGCACTACCTTCTGTACAGGGAGTGACTGAAAAGGAAGACAGGGAAACCAGGCCAAAGTCACCCTGGCTAGGGGTGTGCCATGGCCAGCCTCTGAGTGCCACCTGCGCCCTCTTTGGTCACATGGTGAGGGTGCTCTGGTTGTAGGCCTGGGTGCTCCCTCAGTCAGAAAAGTGAATGTGTCCCTGCTGAGACACTCAGTGTAACTTAACTCTGGTCCTCAGAGCTAGCTCCACCCGGGCCTCAGGCATTCTGTGCTGCATGGAATGGTGTCTTAAAAGATCACAGCCGCCATGCATGACTTACTTGGGAAAGGCATTTTTGCAGGTATAATAGTTAAGTGAAGGATCTCTGGAATCCACTAGGATTTAGGATGGGCTTGAAACCCCACTGTAAGCATCCTTCTAAGATCAGGGAAATGAGAGCTTTCAAACACAGAAATGGTGAGGACAGAGATTGGTGTGATGGCGGCCACACTCCACAGCCAGGATGGGAATGCCTGCAATCCCAGGAGCTGAGAGAGGTAAAAAGGGTCTTCTTATGGGGACACTGGGGTGAACATGGTCCCACCAGCACCCAGGTTTTGGAAGTCTAGCTTGCAGAGTCAAGAGACTTGCATTTCAGTTTGTGGGAGTTCATTCATCAGCTCTCAGCAGCTTCAGGAGGTGCCATCAGTCAAACACCTGGTGTGTCATTACCCTTGATCTTCACCATGTCACTGTTTGTCACTTTTCTCAAGTGCCCACAAGATGGCAGGCAGTACCCAAGTGTTGGGGTTGAAGCAGTGAAAAAAAACCTCAAGGAATTTACTGTCCAGTGTGCTCAGGTACTTATGGCCACACGGACAGCAGAGTGAGGGGATGTGACTCCTGGCTCATGGCTGTCCTCCCTTGTCCTCAGGCCTGGACACACCCCTGAGTCACTGGAGCAGTGCAGGAGCACCAGTGGGGTGGGGGACTCCCAGCTCCAAGTTCCCAGGTAGTTCTGCCATCAGAGATGGGGAACATTCCACCCACCTGCACACTCCACTCTACCAACCCGAATTGGTGCACGAGTCTCCAGGTGCTGTAATTGGGGGTGGGGAGAGACTGCCCTCCTGACAAGCTTCTGGAGATGTAACTGCAGGCATGTTGTCCTCACCAGTGTCCACATATGAGGGCCATTTGAGGGTTATTGTGGCCAGATCACCAGCTGGCCACCAAGGTTAGAGCAAGCTGCTGGTACCCTAAGGCAAGTTGACCTGTAGGGCCAGGCCCGGGAACCTTCTCACTTGAGGCAAAGCTGGGCCTGGGAGGACAGTTGGCTGCCTGCACCCCTCAGGCTGGAGAGAAGAGGCCGACTCGGGGCAGGAGCACAGTCCTGAGGACTACCAGTTGTCAGTTCCTCAGCCCTTTGTCCCTGAGCCCTGGTTGCTGGGCCAGCCACCCCCTGTCTTCTTTCCCAGGACCCATGGTTTGAAGGCTGTGGGAGTGCTTAGCCTGTGCCCTCAACTGAAGTTGTTCCCCTGAGGAAGGGTCCCTGCCTGCCAGCAGCCTCTTGGTCTGGCTGGGGCTTCCTTACAGTCACTCCCACTTGTTGGCCCTGAGTAGTGGCTGGGCTGAGGGAATGAGCCCTGGACTATTCCCTGGGGTTTGGCTTTGGTTGGGTTGGGTGCAGATGTCATCGTACTATGGTGGCCCTGCCAACTCTCCAGAAAAATCCTCTGAGGAAGGCAAAACTTTTTTTTGCCATGTTTAAAAGAAGCTTTTTGGAACAAGAACAGGTTAGAAACAAGCTGTGTGGAAGTATTTGTCACAGAAAGTTCTCTCAAGTGTTGCTGAGCCCTGTCTGTCCTTCAGCATCCCCACCCAGCTCCAGGCTGTTGCTGATCCGGCTTGGGGTACTTCGTCAAACCACACACAGTGACCACACATACTTTTGGAGAGCAGCAGCTTGACCCACTGTCCCTGGGGTTATGAGGTTGAGGCCTGAGTTCCACCCTGCCTCTTGCTGCATGAATAAAGTGGGCACAACATCTTCAGGGTCCTGTTCCTCAGTGGACAGGCAGGACACAATGGGGCTTCCTTCCCATTGTGGTGTGTAGGTGGAAAGTCACAAGGCAGTTCCAGGAGCCAGGCCTGGGACTTTACTAGGGCAGCAGGGCCCCACCTCTGAGGACTTGTGCACTTGAGGGTCCCGGAGTCCTGACCCGCCTCTATTTCCACAGTTATCCAGTCCAGAGAGAGACGTGGAAAGGGATGTCTTCCTGTACAGGGCGTACCTGGCACAGGTGAGTGTGGGCAGGGTTATGGCTCTAAATGCCCCTGGAACAGAGGTGGGAGGAACAAGGAGACTTGGCCAGGTCCACGGCCACTCGTGTGGTCATCCCAAGTAGGAAGGCCGTGTCCTGAGTTCTGGAATACCAGGCCAGAAGGACAGTGCCAGGATTTCTTACTTTTCTCTTTTACCTGATGAGTAGATCTTGTTTAGTGTGGTGTTGGGTTTACACAGCAGTAACAGGAACCCCACACAGTTACCCCCAAGAGAAGGTGACTTCTTGTATTACCTGAGCGGGTGCTTTATTACAGCCACTGCACCTGTAAGAATAATATTGTTAGCTAGTCCACAGTTCATTGGAGACACCAGGGCTTTTATTTTTATTTATTTATTTTTAAAGATTTATTTATTTATGTATACAGAAATGGGGTACAGACCAGAGGTGCAGGGGGTGGTGAGAGGCTTCACCAGAGACAGAGTGGGGAGCAGAACAGGCAGATCGACAAGTACATTGCTGAGGGAAGCAGCGGATAGGTCAGGAGAGGTCTGCCATGCCATGTGGTCACCTCCCTGGCCAGGACTCGAACTGGTGCTGAAGTGGCTGGCCTTGCAGTACTGTGCTTTAAGTGGTTACGCCACTAGGGAGGGCGCACCAGAGCTTTTAAATTGCATTGTTGCTCTCATGAGATGCCAAGAAAGCCTCCTTCTTTTCTTTCTTTTTTTTTTAAAAAAAAGATTTATTTATGCATATAGAACTGGGGTATAGGCCAGAGATGCAGGGTGGTGAGAGGATTCCCCCAGAGAGAGAGTAGGGAACAGAACAGGCAGATAGACAAAGTACACTGCGGACGTGACAGGAGAGGTCTGCCACACCATATGGGTCACTTCCCTGGCCGGGGATCAAACTTGTGCTGAAGTGGCTGCGAGCAGTTTCGCAGTGCTGCATCCTAACCCGTTGCATCACCAGGGCAGGCCCGCCTGCTTTTCTAAAGACACCCAGACAGTACAAGCAGGGCTGAATGTGCCTGCCTGGCTCCCCTGGGCCTAGTGACCTACCTGCCTTGACCCCTTGGAGTTAACCCTATCTCTAAGCTTGGAGACAGGCCTCTCCCAACTCTGTCTGCAGAGTGTTCTAGCACCTGATAGTGCTTCCTCAGCCTCAGGGATCAAACCCAGGCCTGGACAGCACATGTGATGTGGCCGGTAGCTCCTTGGGACGTATCATGCATGTGTGCATGCATATCTGTGCACAATGTTCAGGAAGAGCTGCAGTGAGAAGCAGGCCTCTGCCTCTAGGCCCCCCAGAGGAACCACTGGCACTATCTGGGTTTTAGCACAGAGGGTCTGTCAGGTGTGTGTTTTGTGTTGTTAAGCACTTCCCAGGGCCTTTGCCACCTCACTGACGTCTGAACAGTGACCTTTCAGGTCTTCAGCTAAGATAGTGGGCAGTGTGGCCGAGTGGGCCCTGCGGTGGAGTGGTGTCTGATGGCTGAGGGGTCCATACGGTAGTGGGGAGCCAGCCCCTGGTTGGGGCTGCCCCAGGGCATGTGTTTTGGGACTGATGGCTGGACCCTGCAGCAGCCACACTGACGGTGTACTTGTCCTCACAGAGGAAGTTTGGAGTGGTCCTGGATGAGATCAAGCCCTCTTCAGCCCCAGAACTCCAGGCTGTGCGCATGTTCGCTGAATACCTGGCCAGTGAGAGCCAGAGGTGAGGGGGAGGGTAGGTGTTCTTCCTCCTTGGCCCTCGCCTTCTTCTATCTCCTGTACCCATAGAGTGGACAGCATTGAAGGACCAGCTTCAAAGGAGTGGGGGGGGAGAGCGAAGAAGGTTGTGAGTTGACAGAGAGTCAGCCTGTAGAGGCATCTCCAGTGAGTGCGGGGCCAGACTGGCGATTGTCAAGGAGAGGTAGTGGTGCTGCTCTGTGCTTGGCTCCCCTGTGGGCACCTGTGACAGCATGTCGTACAGTCCTGCCAGCCTCAGGAGGACTTCTGGGTATTTGCACAGGCTGTAGCCTTACTGGTCAGATGCTCACCACACAGCTCACATCTCTGCGGGTGGGAGCCATGCCACCTGCCTCTGCGCGGGGTACCTGGCACAGCCTAGCAGGTTCCCTCTGGGCCACTACATTGCATTCCCAGCTGGTCAGCCTGCTTCTCCTTAGGAAGGGGTGGGAGGCTGGGACCTTCCAGAGTGATCCAGAGAGGAACTGCATAGGCAGAAGCTCGGGAGCAGGCAGCTGTCGGCATGGCTATCCGGCAGCCACCTGCTGGCCCCAGGTCTGCTCAGCAGGCAAGCGGTGGAGAAAGTGCCAGACCCTGTGTAGACGATGGCGTCATGCTGTAGTCATGACACTGACATTGCAGAGCAGCGGTGGCACATGTGGAACCCAGCAGGAAGCTGCATGGGTGGCCTGGGGGCTCTTCACACTGACCCTGCGTAACCCTGTACGGCATCACATGCAGGGCAAGACACACTCAGAGTTGAAGTGGTGCACACTGGGCACCTTGTTGGTAAATACAGATAGGGAAGGACATGCCCTTGGCCCCCAGGCCTAACACCCTGCACAACACATACACATCTGTAGAAACTGAACCCTGAACAGCAGCTTTTGTGTACAGGTGACTCACACAATCTTCTGGCCCTATGGTAGTGCCACTGGGGATGAGTCAGCCCATCCATGTTCAGGACATTAGGGTACACACCTTGAGTGCTGAGGACCAGGAAAGCAGAGCCTGGGCAGAGGTGGTATGTGGTACTTTCCACCTCACATCTCCCTGGGGCCTGGAGTGGCCTCACTCCCACTGCATTTTTCTGATTGTATGGCGGGGGGGGGTGGCACTAGGGAGGTCAGCACCCCACAGCTCATCAGTTAGCCCATTCTACGCACTGCTGCTGTGCACCTTCCAGGGACTGACTCACCATCTCTGGCCCATCTGCTCCCTGCAACTACCATGCTTTGCAGGGATTCAATAGTCGCTGAGCTGGACCGGGAGATGAGCAGGAGTGTGGATGTCACCAATACCACCTTCCTGCTGATGGCTGCCTCCATCTACTTCCATGACCAGAACCCTGATGCCGCCCTGCGTGCCCTGCACCAGGGAGACAGCCTGGAGTGGTGAGTGTTCCCTGTTCTTGGGGTGCAGCCTGGAGTGGCAAGTGTCTCCTCACATCTCATGGGGATGGTGGGGGGAGGGTTGTCACTGAGCGCGAGCAGCTCTGCTTTGCACACAGCAGACTCCTTTCTGCAGGACTGGGCCACTGCTCCAAGGACATGGTGCTGGCGTAAAATTCTTTGTTCCTGATGGCAGAGCAGAAGCACCTCTGTCTGTCATTGGCCCTGCTCTGGGTCCAATGAAAGCAGAACTGGGAGATGATCACTACTACCAACATGCCACCCTCTGTGCAGCGCTTCACCCGTGACTGCCCAGGGAAGGGAGTTGGGAGTGCCATACAGGAAGAAGAGCGGCCAGGGAATAGCCAGGGGCCTGGAGTCTGCACTCAGATTATCAGCGGCCCTTTGCAAGTGTAATAGAAGGTGGCCCCCACATGGAGTGAGTCCTGCTGGAGGGCGGTGTGAGCATTGGGCCCACTGACTGTCTGTCTTGTCCTGCAGCATGGCCATGATGGTGCAGATCCTACTGAAGCTGGACCGCCTGGACCTGGCCCGGTGAGCTCCGCCCCCTACCCCACAGGAGCCGTGGACAGGCCTCACAAGGGGGTGTCTGATCAGGAGCCAAGCCACCTTGTCTCTTTCAGAAGCCAGGCTCTGAATATTGGCGCCTCAGTCTTTTTTCCAATTTATCTCACTCCTTCCGGGAGACTTACCATTCACTTGCCCTTTTCTGTGCCTAAGGAATGAAGGGTGGTTCCATCTGTGCCTCAGTTTCCTTCAGTGAGGCAGGTGGCTGAGCCTGTCCTGCAGGGCTGAGTGGGTGGAGAGAGTACGGGGGTCATGGCAGCGGACGGACAAGGCAGCTGGGCTAGAGCTCCACGTGCTGAGACCTCACCAATAAGCAACTTGGGGATGTTGGCTGGGTCACTTGACCACCTGGCCCCACTTCTCTGCCCCAGGAAGGAACTCAAGAAGATGCAGGACCAGGATGAGGATGCCACCCTCACTCAGCTGGCTACTGCCTGGGTCAACCTGGCTGTGGTGAGCCCCAGACCTGGGGTGGGGGTCAGGTGGGGTGGGTACCTTAGAGTGGCGGTGGGAGGTCTCCCCCATCCCAGCTGCTCCTGAGCAGTGTTTGTGTTGGGGGTGTGTGGGGGGTGGAGAGGGGGTTCTTCCATGTATTTGCTGGGCCTGCTGCTTCCTTTGGGGCCAGGGACTCATCCCTAAAGGAGCCCCTCAGACTGCAGGGCCCTGCCCAATTCCCATTGGCTCAGCCTCAGCCCCATTCAGGCTGCTCGTAGCTGAAGGACTTGGCTAGAGCCCACAGGAATGAACTGGGGACACTGGAACCAGGCACGGAGAGCATCTCCTTGCAACCTCTTCTCCCACCCAGTGCAGCCTAGCTGTGCACCCTCGGCTCTGGCGCAGAGTGGGTACTGGTGTCCCCCTGGCACCATTCCTGAGCCCAGCCCCCACCCACCCCATGCCCCAACATCCTGCTCTCTTGGCAACAGCCCCTTTTCTGGCTTTGCTAGTTGGCTTCCTTTTTCTGAGCCACTCTTTTGTTTGGACCTTTTGAGATGTGCTCCCCATCGGCAGGCAGTGCTCTGGGAGCCAGGGCCTCCCCCGACTGGTGTCCAATACCCGTCCAGTTAGTGGACAGAGAGAGCCTGACAGCTTGCTCCAGCAGCTGATGTGTTTCCATGAGCACTGCTGAGCCTCTGGCACTGTGCTACTGTGGCTTCAGGAGGGGGTAATATCTCCTGTTTAGAAGCAGGCTACTGCTCATGGGGTTCTGTGGCACAGTGGTCCCAACTTAATGCCATCCTGGTGTCCGGTGCTACATCTTCCTCCGGGAGCTGAGGCTTCCATGTCTATACATTAAAGGCCTAGGAACCCAGGAGTGAGGTGGCCGTTGCTGTCGTGTGTCACGTCACTATCATGTGCCATTTCGCCACTTCAGAAGGGCATGGGCTGCACAGGCGTCCATCCAGGGTGGCATCCATGGGGTGTCTGCAAGGCCCAGCCATGCCGGGACCCCCTCCACATAGCACTGGTGTTGCTCTGTTCTGTGAGGGCAAAGGCCAGGCTGGGCCAGGCAGCAGGGGGACAGCTGAGATAGCAGAAATGTCTCCGCAGGGTGGTGAGAAGCTGCAGGATGCCTACTACATCTTCCAAGAGATGGCAGACAAGTGCTCGTCTACCCTGCTGCTGCTCAACGGGCAGGCAGCCTGCCACATGGCCCAGGGCCGGTGGGAGGCCGCCGAGGGTGTGTTGCAGGAGGCCCTGGACAAGGTATGGGCAGGCCTACCCCCACAGCACCTGCGCAGGACAGGCAGGTCATGGGGCACAGGCTTGCTGTAGGGCACAGTGGGAAGGATTTGGTCAAAGGCCCCAAGGGCCTGCCAAGTGGACTTAATATGAACCAGGTAAAAGTTAAGATTGTAAATAAAAGTCCCAGTTCAGCCTCTCTTGGCAACAGGAGGATCCCACTGGCCTGGCTTCTCACCTGGTTCCCTGCCTGGGGAAGGACTCCCACCATTCATGACCAAGGGTCAGCTTCAGACAGGGACACTGACCACTTAGTGGAGAAGGGACCTGGGGCCCTACCCTCTCAGGGTGGCCACCGCTGTCTCCTTCTGATTGATGACACCTGAGGTCTTTCAAGCTAACGTTACATCTGAAAAGACATCAACATTTTTTCCATGTTTTTGGAAACACTTTTTGTGTTTTGGATGCGAGACGGGCAAGGTACAAAGCTCTGCCCCCTGTCTCTGCTGGTGTCCACAGGCTGCATGTGGGGTGCCAACTCACCTGCCAGGCCCCTGCCCACACTGACCTCCATGGCTATGCCTCCTCAGCGGGTCCATCTAGCTTAGCTGCCCGCTGTAGTCAGGGCCAGTCAGGAACTTCTGGCTTGGCAGCATTTCTGCCACACTGTCCCTCCCCTCCCCAGGAGGAACTGCTGTGGGGTCCCCAGTTTTTTTTTTTTTTTTTTTAATTTTTTAAAGATTTTATTTATTTTTGTGCATACAGAACTGGGGTACAGGCCAGAGACTCAGGGGTGGCGAAAGACTTCGCCAGAGACAGAGCGGGATGCAGAACAGGCAGATCAACGAAGTACACTGCTGAGGGGAGCAGCGGGTGGGTCAGGAGAGGTCTGCCTCGCCATGTGGTCACCTCCGGGGCAGGCGGGAATCGAACTCATGCGGAAGTGGTCTCAGCTTCTTAGTGCAGTGCTTTAACCCGCTACGCCACCAGGGAGGGCCGGGGTCCCCAGTTTAATGACTCCCTTCTGTTCTTGTCCCCTAAAACAACCCCTGCTGGCTTACTACTCTGAAGTCTTGCCCACTCAATGGTGTGGGTATCCCTAGCTCCTCCTGTTAGCTCCCAGAGATTTTTGTGTCCGTTCTTGTTTCTTTCTGGGCTCCCCACAGCTACTACTCAGAGCTCTTGTCCTGGGTGGTGCCTCTGCCCCAAGTGCCCAGGCAGCCCCAGGAGGTTCCCAGGTGCCTGAGCTTGAAACAAGTGTGGGCTGGCAGGGGAAGGTCCCATTTGGAGATCCCCAGCAGCTTCCAGCCAGGCCCTGGAGAACAGGCGGAGAGGTGGGATCTGGCCTGGTCTGGGACTGACGTCATTGCAGCCGAAGGTGGGCAGTGGTAGCCTGGAGACCTTGAGTCAGGCTCTGTTATTGCGAGATCTGTACTGTCGGTACCCCCGTCCCCCATGACAGCAGGAAGCAGGGCACTGTCTCTGCATGCTGGTGTGGAAACAGGTGGGGGTGGGAGATGCAGCTGGTACAGGGAAGACGGAGGGCGAGGGCTAAGCTGCCCCTCAAAGTAGAGGGGAGGACGGAGGACCCCCAGCTCACTGCCTGGGAGGGCGGCCTGTGTGAGGCACTGTGGGTCCCGTAGCCCCAGCTCTAGGCTGACCTTGTGCTGGTCGTGCCCCTCCCCAAGCAGCGGGCCTGAGATGAGGAGCAGGTGAGTAGGAAGCACTGACCCTGCCCACCTGATGCTCCTTTTCCAGGACAGTGGCCACCCAGAGACGCTGGTCAACCTCATCGTCCTGTCACAGCACCTGGGCAAGCCACCTGAGGTAGGCTTCCCAGCCAGGTGCAGGAGGACCTCCCAACCTTCTCCCTGCTTCCTTCCTCTCCACCAGCCTGGGGTGGGTGAGGGTCTCAGGTTGGCCATGAATCAGTATAGAAGCCCACTCCCCATAGGGGCTCAACTGCCATTTTCCAAAGGGTCCCCACCTTGGCTGGGTCACAGTTCAGCTGCTCCTTTGGATCCTACAGATCAGCAGGTGAGGCCTGAGAAGAGGTCTGCTGGGCTGGCCCCCTGAGCCCCTCACAATGGGGAGTGGGCAACAGAACCAAGGAAGGGAATCCAGAGGAGCTGTCTCTGCAGGGAAGACTCTGCTCTTAGGTGCCTGCCCCAGGCTGCGTGAGAGTTAACCTGTCCTGAGCAGGCCGCCCAGGCAGCCTCGGGTTTAGGGCGGGCAGCCTTCCAGCTCCCAGTCTCAGATAGCCAGACACCTGCCTTCCACAGTATCAGGACCAGGGGAGGCGGGGCTGTCCAGGCTGGTGCCAGTCACCAGAGCTTTGGGGAGGGGATCTTCATACATTGTGCCCAGAAAAAAACCCATTATCTCAGCCCTGTCCCACCTTCCCTGGTCTTGCCCCTCCCAGGGCCAGGCACCCTGTGGTGCCTTCTCCAGGCTGCGTCCCAGGTACCTCCGAACCAGGCAGTATACAGTATACCTGAGGGCCCTGTCATCAGACTGATTCCCCTGTGTGGTGGAATGAGGAGCCTCCAGGGTGCTGGAGGACATGTGAGAGACAAGGACTCCTGCCTGGGATATCCCTCCCTCCCCCGTCCTGTAGCTTAGGGTCAAGACGGACTGACCTTCGCCTCCCCTCCAGGTGACAAACCGCTACTTGTCCCAGCTGAAGGATGCCCACAGGTCCCACCCCTTCATCAAGGAGTACCAGGCCAAGGTGAGCTGATGCAGGTGGTTAGTCTCCAGCCCAGCTCCCTAGGCCAGGCCTGGGAGGGCCGGAACTCACCTGACTCATGGTCTCTCTCTCTCACACCCCTCCCCCTTGTTGAAGGAAAGTGACTTCGACCGGCTGGTGCTGCAGTACGCCCCCAGTGCCTGAGCCCACCAAGGTGCCTGACCAAATCCCAGCTGGGATGGCGAAGCAGGCGTGTTGCCTCCCTGCGACTCACCCTTCCCTGTCACCCCTTCTGTCAATAAACATGTCCATTCTGAATATACTGCCCAATTCAAGTGTGCTGTGGTCACCTGGGAGGGAGTGGTGTTCATGGGAACCAGGACTCACGGGAGGGTCCTGGGTAGTGTGACCATGGGCTTTTCTGGCACAGGGAGAGGAACTGGAGACCAAGGTCTGAGAGCAGGTACACCAGTTCCCCATCCCTCAGGTGCTGCTAAGCTGCAGGTGGCACAGCTGTGCCCGCCCCCCCCCCCAAGCCCAGTTGGCATCCAAGTAAATAGGCACAGAGAGATGACAATCACAGGATTGACGCCAAGGACCCTGAGGGGTAGGAGGTGGCCTGGCTCAGCCAGGTGGGGAGGAAGTTATGCAGAGTCCTCTCCGGAATAATGTCAGTCCCTCAGCCCTCCCTCACTGCTGCCCAGAGGTGGTGAGTCATCAGCAAAGGTGGAGACCTGCTGTGTGGACACATGAGCTCCCTGCCCAGAGATAAGAGGAAGCTGGACAATGGAGTAGGAAGGTGGGTGGGCAGGGGACGGGCAATAGCTGGTCTTTTGAAGAGGTGAACTTCAAACTGTTCACCAAACAAGGGGCTGCCAGGACACATTCTGGGACAGCAAGAGTAGCCCATCAAACAGATCAAAGACCCTGAGGCCACAGTGGCTCTGAGCAGGACATGGCTGTGGTTTTCCTTGAGCCAGTGTGGGCCTGGACTTGTTCATCTGGACCAGAGGAGACACCTGGGCCCCAGTCCCTGCTGGCCAGGACAGGACATACAGCAAAGGCCCCACTGTAGCAGGGGCTCAGTCAGGGTCAGGGCCCCTGCAATCAGCTAGGAGGCCTGGCCTCTCTGATGGGACCATGAAAGATACCAGCTTGGGACCTCAGTAGTCCCTTGCTGGGGCCCTGAGCCTGGAAGCGCCAGTCCCAGCTGCCAGTACCAGGAGACACTTTCCATCCCTGCTGTTTATACACCCACCAAATCGAAACTGGAAGCTGGACCAGCACAGGTGGCTCGTGGGCAGGGCACTTCTATTACTGGTGGCTGTCATCGCAACCAGACAGTGCTTGATCAGAAGGCCCAGGACTAGTCCACTGGCCCAGTGGAACCTGTGGGGGTAGGTTCAGCCAGGCAGGGACCTCTGAGCCCCACCCTGCACCCCAGGTTGGCCTCCAGGTGGACCTTGCAAACCCCAGCCCACATAGTACACATTTAGGAATAGTGATTGGGACAATGGAGCCTGCCAAGGGGCAGAATGACAGGCCATTGGGGAGGTACACTGAGTAGGTGGCATTTGCAGGTAAAGCCTGAAGTTAGTGGAGGAGGAGAACAGCATTCCAAGTAGAAGGAACAGGCAGTGCACAGGCCCTGAGGCAGGATGGTGTACAAGGTGTAAGATGAACATGAAGGTGGCCAGTGTTGATGGAACAGAGGGAGTGAGAGCAGGCAGTAGCACACGGGATCCTGCGTGAGGAGCTGGGCTTTTACTCAGCAGTCAGGGAGGGCTGTGAGTGGAGGAGCAGCTTCCTTGGGGTAAGGAGGAAGCAGGGACACCAGGCAGGATAGTGCATGAGGGTGTGTGAAATGCAGAGAAGAGGCAGGGTCAGGAAATATTTGAAGGGGAGCCAACTGGAGTGCTGCAGGTCTGGAGAAGGGGTGAGGGGAAGGAGAGATGAGTGTCCCCTCCCAGTTTTCACCTGTGCAGCTGAGGTCCCGTTAGGCTACTGGCCAGGTGGGACTCTGCCTGGCCCCTGCAGGTTGACAGTGACTCCTGCACCAGGCACCTCAGTGTTCCAGGGTGGTTTCCTAGAAGGCACAAGAGATTGCTGGAGCTTGGAGCACAGGGTCTCAACAGTGGACAGTGGAAGTGTGGTCCCAATAAAGCTGCATCTGCAGCCAGCCTGAACCCCCACAACCCCCAAAGTGGGTGCTCACTCCTTCCCCCACTTCCTTTCCTGTGTTAACTTGCTGCAGAGATGCCCCGGGTCCCCAGGATCACACAGAGCCGCAGGTGGACCTTGGGCCAGAGAATGTTAAGGTCCAAGGGTGAGGCCAGGAGGGAGAGGCATGCCTGAGGGTCAAGAGCAGGGAGTGGTCGGTCGAGGTCGAGGTCGAGGTGCTGCTTATTGGTACCCATCATACCCACGCAGACACAGCATGGTGGAGTGAGGGGCCTGGGTTGGATCGGGTGCCCCGGGGCGGGGGATCGGGTGTCCCCCGATGGAGACACCGGGTGGCTCAAGGTCCCCACAGGCCAAGACCACGCCGCCGCTCTGCGCCACGGTTTCTTCTGCTGGAAAACGGGCC